TTGCACAGACTTGCATATATATGTGGACAGTCCTTGATTTACTGTGATTCATTTGATGAGTTTCATTTTTTTTTTTTTTGAGTTTTTTTTTTTTTTTTTTTGAGTTTCATCTTTACAGTGGTGCAAACTCAGTATGCACGCAGTAAACTGCACTTCACATTTTGAATTTTGATCTTTTCCTGGATCAGTGGTGTACAGTACAGAATCTCCTGCCTTGCTGGGTAGTAGCAGTCCCACGGCTTCTGGTTAGCCTTGTAGTCATTGTGTGTTTTGTTGCTTGGTCTTGCTGTCTGCGAACATGGTATGTCTACTTAAAGCTCACGTGCTCTATGAATATTCATACAGTGCCTTACGTGGCTTGATTATTATTATGAATAAAAGAGATTTTATTCATAATGCATATAAGCATAAAACATACGGATTTACGTTTCTTGATTTGATGACAGAGGCCTCTTCATGTTTTTTCCAGCTTTCGTTCTATAATGAAATAAAATAGAAATAAGGAAGGGTATTAATTTTCTTTTACCATTTTTGTATATAAAATCATGTAATGTCTACTTATTTTTTTAAATTGATGACATTTTGTGGTAGTCTTTGCTTATTTCTACTCTAGCTAGATGATACTATAGAGTATAATAATTTCAATGTAGATTACCAATGGAAGACTCAGAAATAACTTGGCCCTTTTATTATTTCTGTGAAAACTGCACTATATATCTTTGCTTACAGTAAGTATTTTTACCTTCAGTATGACATACATAATTGTGGGTGATTTTGTAACTATAGTAAAACTTTCATTACTTATCACTAAAAAAAATATATTAAAACCCATAAATTCAAAGGTCTTATCTATATTTGATTACCTAAGAGTTTTTTGTTATTGTTGTTGTTTGTTTGTTTGTTTCCTTTTTGTAGGATTTAAACAAGCGGTTATCCCTGCCTGCAGATATCAGAATACCTGATGGATATCTTGAAAAATTGCAAATCAACAGTCCACCATTTGATCAACCGATGAGCCGAAGGTCTCGTAGAGCTTCTCTAGTGAGTTCTTGATCTCCTGTACCTGCGGTCATCGGATCTGTTTATTTAGTTTTCTGAAATGTTTTATTTTTTTATTTCTTAGATTTTTTTTTGGTAGTGTGTGCTAGGCAAGCAGTCTAACATTAAGCTATAATTCAGTCCTTAAATTTATTTATATGTATAATTTTTAGTAGCTAAAATTAATTACATTGTCTTCTAGATTTTTTCATTTTCCATTCTAGAGTTATTAGAACTTTTTTTTTTTTTTTTTTTTGTAGTACTGGGGATTGAACTCAAGACCTTGCATTTACCCGGCAAGCACTTATTCTACTGAGCCAACTCCCCAACCCCCCTTTTTTTTCTAATTAATAGCCCAAAGCACATATGCATTAATTAGTTGTTCATGTTCTGCAAAACACTATATTCCCTGTAAAGGAAAAGTGAACTTTGAAAAGTTCTGGAAATATAGAATAATAAATTACCAGTAGCTTCTTTTTAGAAAATAATTATTTAAAGTATCTTTTTGAGATCATATATATGGGTGCCTTTGAGGGGAGCAGGCTAAAATTGAGAATTGAACTGAAGGCCTTGACACTGAGCTGCTTCCCTGGATTCTTTTTCATTTAAAAAAAATTTAAAATTTTGAGACAAGTTCTCACTAAATTTCTGTATTACCCAAGGTGGGCCCAAATGTCAGTCCTCATGCCTCCAGTGCTGGAATTATAGGTATATGTCACCACACTTAGATTTACTTCCTATTTCATATGTTTTCTTTAACATTTTAAGACACATGTATAAAGTAGACACCAGCTTTCCCCACCTTGCTTTGTAAGTATGTGTGTCATTTCTTTTGTGGTTCATTGTACCTGCAAGTTTCTACAGCGCATAGTATTTCTCTATGTAGTACAGCACAGAATGCGTTCATTCCCCTTTTCTTTACCAGTGTTGAAACCTGGAGGTTAGACGGTGATTATGACTGTTACCATTTTATTAGATTAAAATTGTTTACTGCAGAATAATTGAACTTGTCTTAAAAAATTATTTTTTAATTGTTGTCCAGACAGTAGTCATTGCAGTATCTGTCCTGTTAGCTTATTGTGTTTTCTTTGTTAAAAGATTACTTTTTTATTTTAGTTTTTGTATTTTTAGTACAAGGTCTACAGAGTCTCACTGCACAGATCAGACTCGTAGTGATTCTCCTGTTTTCAGCCTCCCAAGTGCTGGAATTACAGGCGCGTCACCATACCCAGTCTCATTCACACAGCATGCCAAGGATCAAACCCCGGTTTCCTGCACCTGCCTAGGCAGGCGTTTTAGTCTGCTGAGCTGTCTGACTGGCCCTAAGATTACTTTTATTTTATTTATTTATTTTTTTTGGCAGAACCGGGGATTGAACACAGACCCTTGCGCTTGCCAGGGAAGCGCTTATTCTACTGAGCCATCCCCCCCCCCCAGTCTCCCTAAGATTACTTTTAAATAAGTTCAGGTAAACAGTATTAGTTTTCTGAGTGATAAATTAATACTTGTAACTCTGGAGATCATCAAGTATCTGTACAATTATATAGATTATATCACAGTAATATAAAATATTCCTTATTTTTCTTTATAACATGTAATTTTGTTATACCCTTAAAATGTATGAGCCTTAGGGTCTATATTTGGACTTTTCTAATTCTTTAATTGAGTTATATTTATTTTCTCTAAGGTGACAAATCCTAGGTTATATTCTTTTCAGTTTTATGACTTGCACAGACTTGCATATATATGTGGACAGTCCTTGATTTACTGTGATTCATTTGATGAGTTTCATTTTTTTTTTTTTTGA